TCTCACATACTCCTTGTATCTCTAGGTTGGTGGGGGCAGTGGGAGCAGTGGGAGCAGTAGGGTGAACAAAATCCTGTGTCTTCCTTGCTGTCACTGCTACTTCCAAATGGTTTCTCTTCTAAACACCACCAGCTTGTCAGGCTACATGACCAGCTTGTCAGGCTATACCACCAGAGTCTAGCTATACCCCCTCATTCTTTGGGGATTTAAAAAACTGGCTGACTTCATATTCTCTATCACTACTCTTTGTACTTTTATTATCCATGCAAATGATCATTAAAATAGCCTGACCTCTGGGTTCTTTTGCCTACTCTTCTCCAATGAGCTTGTCCTCCAAACTCCTTCAGTCACTCAGCCCCTTAGTTATACCCTAGACCCTGTCATGACCAATGCCTGCACCCCTCCATGCTCTTTAACCTCTCAATCTTTATCAGACAACTCTCTGAGCTGTCTCCTTTCTTTCTAGCTCACTTTTTCTAGAAACCCGACTCCAACAATCTTGGATCACACTGGTAATTGGAAGCCATTTTACCACTTAAAACAAAACAAAACAAAACAAAATAAGAACTTTATATTACAAGCATTTCCAAATATGTCCTAAAGTAGATACTCTTCTATCTACCTACCTACCCACCTGTCGATCTTTTTCCTTACTTGTTGTTTTGCTCATTTCATCATCTTTTCACTGTCACTCACTTTCCCTTTACCTATCTTACATTTCATCAACATTTATCATTAGATTCACTTCCAACTATCACTCCCTTCCACACATCCTCAACTCTCTGGCTTCATCTTGCATTTTGTACACTACTGAAAGAATCCTAACCTTTATTGAATCAATTCTGCCTGTCTCATTTCAAAATCTTGACCCTCTAACCTCCCATAGACTGTCAGTACTGCTCAGAGAGCCTATTACATATTTCTAGCCCATTAACTCTCTCATACTCCAGATGACTATTTTGTACCTTCTCTCTCCTCAAACCTCTAGCTCCCACTACTACATTGACCTACTCGCCTATGACCTACATAATTTGCCCTCACTTTTGTTTCTATGGATGAACTTCGCCTAATTCTGAGGCCAACTCCTTCACTTGTGTGCTCCAGCAATAATTCTCTCATCTGTTTTTTTTTTTTTTTTTGCATCGTTCATGTTCCTTCTTTATTGTTTAATCTCCACCAGCATACAGACATACTATACATTCTCCTATATTAAAAGCAAACAGCAAAATAAAACCCTTAACCTCTCTTCTTCAAGCTACTGTTTCATTGCTGTTTACCTTTACAGCAAAAATGTTATCTAAATTTGTGGTCCTAATTCCCCTTCTCCCATTTGCAATCCATCCTAATCAAGCTTTCTCCTACAACACTGCTGAAACTGCCCTTGCCAAGGTTACAAAGATCTCCTCGTTGCTAAATTCAATGGTTACATCTCAGTGGTTACATCTCACTTGGCATAGCATTGAATACAAGCAACAATTCCTTTGTCCCTGAAACACGTTTTTCAATTGGCTTTGAGGACACCATTTTCTTATTTTTTTTTCTGTGCTCATTGGCTTCTTCTTAGCCTCCCTTTTTGGTTTCATCTCTCTTTCTTATCTTTAAGCTTTTCATCACCCCAAGACTCAGTCTTTGAGTCTCTTTACTCTTTAGAATTAATTTGTTGAGGAGCTAATTCAGCCTCATGCCTTTTAAAAAACAACTCCCAGCTGGCCGGTTAGCTCAGTTGGTTAGAGCGTGGTGCTGATAAAAAACAACTCCCAGATTTCTATCTCTAGCTCAGTGCTTTCTCCTGAACTCTAAACTCATACATGCAATTAATTATATCTATAGCTTTTCCCATTTCAGTAAATGGAAACTCCATCCTTCTACTTGCAGAGGCAACAACGACAAAAAAAAGTGATGATCTTTGACTACTCTCTTTATCATTCGTGCCTCTAATATACCAGCAAATTATATTGATCTTACCAGTCAGAATCTGAATGATCAAGTAACTTATATTAGATCAACCCTCCTACAGAAAACAACTAGAAACTCCGGACAAAATGTAAACGACAGCTACCTGAAGGCACTGGAAAGTTAATAAAAGCAAGTAGATCCTGGAGGAGAGTGAGTCACTTAGAAGAAAGGAACTAGTATGTTTCCCACGTCTCTCTCTCTCTCTCTCTCTCTCTCTCTCTCTCTCTCTCTCTCTCTCGCATTTAGCCTGAGGGTAGACCACTTCTGCATTTTAGGAAACAGTTAAAATTCTGATGGTTTGCTTGTTTGAAGGACCAGAGGACAGAATTCAGGGCAACTGGAGTGTATTATTTATTGTTTTGTAACAAATTACCATAAACCTAGTGATTTAAAACAATGTTCATTTATTATCTGTTTCCATCGGTTAGGAGTACAGTATAGATTAGCCGGGTTCTTTGCTCAGAGATTCACTAGGCTGAAATCAGGGAGTCAGCAGGAACTGTGATTCTCATCTGAGGCTCAAGGCCTCTTTTAAGCTCATCGGTTGTTGGCAGAACTCATTTCTTTGTGGTTGTATGACACATGTCTGTTTTCTTGCCATCTGTTGCCCAGAAATGACTCTCAAATTCTAGAGGATACCTACAGCTGTGTGGCAAGTTCACAACATGGCTGTTTGCTTTTTTCCTGACTGGCAAGGGCATATGCTTGACTTTCTACTCTGTGACCAGCTGTAAAACGTATTCTGCTTTTGAAGGGCTCACCCAATTAGGTCAGACCCACTTGGGATAATCTTCCTTTGGTTATATGATGAAACATAATCATGGGAGTAATATCTCATCATATTCACAGGTTCTGCCCACACTGAAGGGGAGGGTATTCTACATGGCATGTACACCAGGGGAAAGGAATCTTACAGGCCATCTTAGAATCCTGCTTATTACAAATAGGCAGTAGAAAATGAGAGGGGATCCTGGTAAAAGCCCTGGAATCTATGTGTAAATTATACCTAAATCTCTGGTTGGCCCCTGAACCACACATGCATGAGGCACACTAACCAGTCAGGTAGGGCTAAAATAAATGAACTGAGATTAGATCTGCTGCCCCATGCAGGGCATTGTTCTTACTGTTTTCTCAGACTGGAATTATCTAATGCTTATTCTCTGCCCATGGAAATTCACTGCACTCTGCAAAGCCCAACTCACAAGCTACATCCTTCTTAAAGCATCCACATTATTCCACAACATAATTATTCACTTGCGTCTAGATTTACTTCATTTCTCCTTGTGTTATAGATAAGTATTTACATGTCTATCACTAGCTAGAAAGTGCTTTGATGCAATGGTTTATTTACTCTTAGACACCTAGCACATTCCATCAGAGAGGTTAAATGAGCTCAAATTTGTTAAATTAAATTGCATCATTATGATTAAAAAAATCATCTGGAATATGCTTATCTCTCTCATCCTGGTCTACACCACATCATCTCTTGCTTATATTACTACAATTGTCTCCTATTTTTGCTACTTCTGTTCTTTGCTTATCTAATAGTATGTTCCCAACCCAGTAGTTAAAATGATCATTTAAAAATGTACATCGGACCAAGTAATGCCACTCACTATAGCCTCCAATTATTTCCTATGTTATTTGGGTTAAAATCCTACCTCTTTGCGTTCATCTCTAAGGTATACAACAACCTGCTCCTATGATTCTGTGCCCTATTCTTCCTCTTACACACTCCACTCTGGCCACACCAACTTCCTCATGCCCTCAGAACTTTGCATTGGGTTCTCTCCACCATGACACACTAATGCCTTCACCTTCTCCAGCTTATTGTTCAAATGTTGTTTTATCAGAGAGATTTTCCTTGTTCGCCGTATTTAGAGCCCTCGAGCCAATGTGATCTTCTCCTTTTCTTGTTTTATTTATTCTATAGCACTTATCACCACATGACTGAATACATATTTTATATTATTTGTTTATTATTTATGTCCTTTTATAGGAAGTACACTTCCCAAGGGCAGGGGCTTGTCAGCCCCTGCTCTATGCCCAGTACTCTGAGAGTGCCTAGCATGCAGAAGGTGATCTACAAATGCTTGTTGAATAAATAATAGAATTAATCATTTTATGTCTTTTTCAACATTTTATTTTGTTCTCAAACTATCTTATAATATAGGTAGAGGGTTTTATTATAATTTGCTCCTTTTTTTTTTTTTTAATCAGCCAGTGAAGGCATTATAAATGAATTGTCTTTTTTGAACATAAAATTCAAGTGATGTTAAATATTTCTCTGGGGAGTTGAAAAAGCTTAAAAATAACGGTAAAATTTAACATTTAGTAAACACTTAGAGTATTCATTTAACTCTTATAATACTCTGTACTGTAGGAATTTATTATTATTTCTATTTTAGGCAAAAAACAAAAACAGACATTTTTTTCTAAGATAATATAGTCACTAAAAACAGAGCTGAATTCAAAGCTAAGTAGAGCTTGTGAGTTTAATCTTGACTTCATACTCACTCCCTAGGTGTGGCATTTAAATCTAGAAGGAGTAAGAATTTAGTTGTAATCATGTAAAACTCAGTACCTGAGATGAGCTTTGCATACTAGAAGAAACACTGGATTGAAAGTTAAAAGACTTGGTTAAAAAACTACCAGCTATGTGATTTACGATGGTTTACTAACAGTCCTGAGCTGTTTCTTTAGTCTCTAATTGGGCTGCAGAATTAAGAGAACTAAGTAAGATAATGTTTGGTGAAAGCACTACAAACTATATATTGTTTTGCAAAGTAACTTAATTTTTTCAAAATACTAATAAATATGCCGTGGATGTGAGCTCTCTGAATTTATAGTCAAATGCTTTAACATTTTGGTTTAAATTCTATGCAAATGAAGGAATGTAGTTATTTACCTGGCATCTTAAGAGAACACCAAGATGCTTATTGAACAGCAGAAATTACCAAAATGCCTCATGAGCTGTATGTACTAAAATAATGCACAGTAAATGCCAACATTATGATATACATTGCCGTCTACTTTCCTTTCAGGTGGATGGCTGGTACTCTTCGCCATCATGTTGCAGTTGGTGGCAGCTTGCCCTGAGTCATGTGTGGTGTGCACCAAAGATGTAACCCTCTGTCACCAGCTAACCTATATAGTAGGTAATAAAACTAATAACTCTACAAAGCAGTGCTCAGTGTACCTGGAAAATTGGTTGCCGTACCTTTCATTGTACTGACTGTTCTCTGGGCTCAGCTTAAAAGAGGTAACCCTTTAATGAGTAAGCTTCAAACAATGACTAAAGAGACTGGTAATATTTTGTTTTCCTGTTTCTGATGGTCTCAATCAAAACTATTTAAAGACCTTCAGAAGTAATTGAGATATTTTGCTATTGCAAAAGAATATCACCATTTTATCCAGCTACACACTTAACAAATACATCACTTTAATTATATTTTTGTACATACTTTGTGCAGATTTGAACCCTACCACCAGCTGGAAGAAATATAAATGATTCAGAAACCTGAACTGCAATCGTTCAGCATTAGTAAGATTAAGTGATGTACCAGTGAAACAGATTATTATCAAAGTGCGTCTCATTTTGAAAGTCTGGTCTTTTTTTATTGGTGGTAAATGAGCTGTAGAAATGCTAACAAGATACACTGCCTGTATTCATTACATATTGCTTGCTTAAGTCAACAATTTAATAAGACACCTTATTAACAAATTTGAGGAGAATGTGATTTACATCCTGATATCCAAGAAGAGATAAACAAGCTATAAGCTCTGCCAATGGAAAATTTCCATAAACAAACTTGAGTTACGACAGAGTGGAAGAGGATAATTTCTTCCATTTCTAAAATTCCATGACTCTGATAATTAGGAGGTAGATGTTGTCACCATCCTTGACAGGAGAGAGAAGGTTTCAAGGATAGTTAACGTGTATATTGTTTCTAATCAGTATTGAAAATGCTTTAACACTAAACTCTCACCATCTAAAATGGATTTCTTGACTTCACTACATTTATTTTTCCTGATCAGAGATAGTTGATGTCTGTAAGAAACAAATATTTCTCATCTACATTGTTGCACCTCTATATCCTCCTTCTCACTTACAGAACACCACATTTGCGAAGTTAGATTTCATAAGTACAGAGAATAAAATGGATGAATTGGTAGTTGGGTTTCTTTTCTAGACCTAGACAAGAAGTAATTGATAGAAATAACAGCCTGCTCATTCAGAGTCAGCAAATCCCTAAAGGACTGAGAACCCATGAAAACAAACCTCCTTCATCCCATAGCAAAAACAATGACGAGAGGAACAAAATGCCGAACTGGCCAGAATGAATAGCATTCAAATAATCAATCATAAATGCTGAAAAAATTATCAGGATTTAAGCTTGCTTGTGCTGCAGGGATGAGAACAATTCTTTCAAAAGAAGGCACTCTGAGAATCTTTTGTCTTTTACATATTTTTTAATCTCTTTGTTTCCGCGATGCAGTCTGAATTTCCTAAGGGATTTGTGATTTGCTTCCCTGTGGTTGACTGTTCTAATATCACCTGCAGACCTCCCAGTGACAATGGACTCCTCTATCCTTATGACACTGTCATTTGCAGTCAAAACAATTTTAGCATGATAAAGATGTGTTACAATAACTCCTGATTATAATACATCTTTATTGAGTTAAAATGCTTTGATTTCTAATGACAGAGCAGTGATAGCTCTGAGGTGATTATGGCGAAGGGATTTAACAGTTGGAAGCCCTGAGTACCACCTGTCATCACATGATGGACTTCATTGGAGGGAACAGATATTAGACAGGAGGCCAAGATGGCCCAGACTATAATGAGAACCCCACTGACAGACACTTGGGTTGTCTGGAGTGAATATATATCCTTACCAAGTTGCCAACTTTTAGCCTGGGGCTAAAAAGCAGAAACCAATGCTCCTTCTCACTCTCCCCACCCCAACACGCACCTTTATGTTTGGGAGAAAAGATGATTGACTTCACAGCATAAATATAAATTGCTATAGAACACTGACTGGGGGATCAGACAGAGGCTCAGCTCTTAGTTGACTCTGTACTGGATCTGCAGGGCTAGATCAGGTCGGTACACAGCCTTGGAGGGAGGGCCTGAAAAGACACCTTCAAAATAACATCCATGAAGATAATCTGAAACAATGAATTAACTTTGACATCTAAAGTAACAGATGGGTTTATGTTTCTCAAACAAACATGTCACGGTAGCAAAGAATATAAAAATCCATCATTTTGATATATAGCCAGCTTCCCCTTAAATTTAGAAATCAGAAAATCATTTTCATGTTGTGTACTGTTTACTGTTTTTACCCAGGTGATAAGATTGCTTAGAGGATATTGATTCTCTGCTCTCCACCATACCCCCGCCCTCCCACTCATGTGTATCCTGCATCTAGTCTGTGCTTTTTTGCCCACAGCAGCCCCTATGACCACGAGGGTTTTAATCATCACTGATGGATATCTGTCCTCTATTGAGAGCACCAACCTGTCTCTCTTGTTTAATCTTGCCCTGCTCTCTCTGAGCAGAAATGGTATCGAGGATGTTCAGGAAGATGCCCTAGATGGCCTTACGATGTTGCGGACTTTGTTGCTGGAGCACAACCAAATATCCAGCTCTTCACTCACTGATCACACCTTCAGCAAGCTTCACAGCCTGCAGGTGCTGGTGCTGAGCAATAATGCTCTCCGCACCCTACGAGGGTCTTGGTTCCGAAACACAAGGGGCCTGACCCGGCTCCAGCTGGATGGGAATCAGATCACTAATCTCACAGACAGTTCTTTTGGAGGCACGAATCTCCACAGTCTCAGGCATCTGGATTTATCCAACAATTTTATTTCCTACATTGGGAAAGATGCCTTCCGGCCCCTGCCTCAACTACAGGAAGTGGACCTTTCGCGAAATAGGTTAGCCCACATGCCGGATGTTTTTACTCCACTGAAGCAGTTAATCCATCTGAGCTTAGATAAGAACCAGTGGAGCTGCACCTGTGATCTCCATCCCCTTGCTCGGTTTTTAAGAAACTACATTAAGTCTTCTGCTCACACGCTCAGGAATGCCAAGGACCTAAATTGTCAGCCATCTACCGCAGCTGTGGCAGCTGCACAGAGTGTGCTGAGGCTGTCTGAGACCAACTGTGATTCCAAAGCTCCCAACTTCACTCTGGTTCTAAAGGACAGAAGTCCCCTCCTCCCAGGACAAGATGTGGCCCTGCTGACTGTCCTTGGCTTTGCAGGTATGCCGGGGAGAAGTGTGCCCTCCTCTTTTCTCTTCACTTGTCCATATTTTTGCAGCATGCTAAGTGATGCTTATCTCAGACACTTGGGGAAATTTGCCAAGCTCATGGAAAGGAGAGGTTGCCAGTAGATGGGGGAGGATATTAGCTGATTTAGCACAAGTTGCAAGAATTTCCTGTTTCAAGGAAGCTGTCTAAAATAGAGGAAAGGGCCCTGGACCAGAATTCAAGAGCTCCAGTCCTGGTATAACTAGCACTGTGATCTTGAACAGGTTAACTTGCTATTTAGACTTTAATTTCCTTGTGTGTAATACAAGAATAACATTTACATTTCATCAACCATCCTTTCACCAAAGAGTACTGGTGCATTTGTTATGACACTGGGTGATAGATATTTAAAAACTGATGGGACATAGACTCTTTCCGCAAGGCACTTACATTTGTGTGCTTCTCCATGGCACATAGTAAGAGTCAGCGGACTTTCACAGATGCACAAAAGGATGCTACTATGGCAATCACATATATCTCAGTCTGCAGTGTTTATACGGCACAGTAGTTAAATAAATGGGCTGTGTAGTTGGATTACCTAGGTTTGAATTCTGGCTCTGCTATTGGCTGTGTGACTTTGAACAGATTATCTAACTTCTCTGTGCCTTGGTTTTCCTCCTGTTGGGGGATTTGAATTCTTCTAAAATTTCTATTTGTCCAACTCTATGTAAACTTGGCCCATACTTCCCCAGACCAACTAAGGGGAGAATAATATGCAATTCTTTATATATTTTTTGTAATTTAAAATTTATTAAACTATGCGTCAGCTATCATTGCATCTCACTGGATGAATAACATAAAATGGCACTTAGTGTCATTAGTTGAAGACCAAAGATGCATGAGATTTCTTAAGTTATCTAGCTCAATCGGTGTGTTTTCCCCTATGCTCTCAGTGCATGGTGAAATCCTCTGCACCTGTGGGTAACCATGGTGATGAGGGGGCAGGGAGAGAAAGAGAGAGAGACCAGAGACAAACAAATGGCATCCAAGACTGATGTATTTTAAATATGTGCTATAAGTCATTATTCTATAACAGTTATCTAGTGAATTGATTGATTGTATTTTTACTTCCTGACAATTACACTTTTAATCAGGATAGATGGAGACCAGCATCAGGTATAGACAATGGAACTACCATCAGCAGTAATCAAATTCACTCGGAAGGAAATTCAAATGTTAGGAAGATAAATTCTTTTAAAAACCATGTAGCTATGTCAGTAATTGTATGTACTAAGAAGTAATTTGCCATAAAAGACATAAGTGATAGGGCAGCAGACAGGTTTCCCTTAAATGTGCTTCTTAGAACACTAGCACTGGTGGATAATTAATAGATATTCCAATAAAAACACACAGATGCACATAGAGGCAATAGATGGTGGGGTTCAAATAGGTTTAAAAGGTACTAAGTAAAGCAAAGTGAAACAGGTGTACTCACTGCAGCACTTCTCGTAACCTTTCATTTTCTAATGAGCACTATACATTTCTAAGAGGAAGGTGTGATATGGAGCATTTCTTGAACTTATTTGGCCATGATCCCTTTTCTTCATAGAGGATTTCATTGAATTTGTGTTCTAGAGGACATCGTTTTGGAAATATTATAATAGAGCAATTTTTAATATCTTCTAGTTACCTTTTACACCTGTTTTCAGAAATATATATTCAGAAATATATTTAGCTACATTAACGGTTCTTTTTTTGTATTGAGACGAATACAAATTCTAGGAGATTCCAAAGGTTTTGTCAAAGTGAGAGGGAGCTTAATATACGTGAATAAATTCTGATAAATTATAAATATGATTACATATATGTTAGGTTTTGGTGTGTGAAATTATCATGCTAATATATCTTTCATCAAATAATTGTTAAATTATAGTGCTTTGAGAAGAGATTCTTCTTTAAAAAGACTCTGATTTTTAATGTTAATTTGCTCCATTAAGATTCAACTCTTTCTGAAGTACACATGGGGCGAGTTATCTATACTTCTAGATTGTGGGAAAAACACTTAGAACTATAATTTTGCCTATGAGTCCATTTTCTTCTTCAGCTATATCTAAGTCATAAAAATTCAAAGGAATATAAATAGCTATATTCAGTAAATTTAAAACTAATAAATGGTTATTTGGCATCAAACACTAATATCTTGACACGTATGCTATGAACTGGTAGATAAAAAGTTTTTATGAAGCTGTAACGTGTTTCTAATGTTTCAATAAGAACTTATCATTAATTTTCCCTTTTTCTCTTGCCAACTCAGAAAGATTGTTAGAATACTTTTTAAAAATAGAAACAATGCCCATGGCAAAGAAAATTCAAACAGCTTCTTAATAGCACGTTCCGCCTGCCTACAAGCTTCATTTGCTGCTTTTGCTTTCTACGCTAATGGAAAGTGACCATACCTGACTGGTAATGGGATACAGATATATACCTAGCATCAACAGCAGGGAAGTGAGTGAGTTCCTGCCATTCAGACACAATTAGAGGAGAAACTGTATCCTATAATCAGATTATGTTTACTCTCATTTCAATGGCTGATTCTTGTCTTCAAGAACACTTAGCCCTTTTGTTCCTTCATTATTTGGCCCACTAACTGCACCAGTCATATAAAATATCATCCTAATGATTGATTTTTGGATTTTTTTTCCTGATAGGTGAGTCTTTCAGGAACCAATAGAGCAATGCAAAACCTAAACAATGGTAGCTCAGTAATCATAATCATAATCATAAATCACAATGAATGCTCATTGAACTCTACTATATCAAAGCACTGTGTTAAACATGTCACATATATTATTCAATCCCTGGATAGTATCAGTTATCCTTATTTGTGAAAGGAGAAAAAATAAGTGTTAGAGAAATTAGAAAATACCAAGAAAAGTGTCAAGAGCATAGCTTTGAATCTTGAGTTTTCTTACCCATATAAGTTAAGGAGTGGTGCCAGTTTTTAATTTTTTAGTATGTTCTTTAACATGTTAAAACCAAAATCATTGCTTGGGATAATTCAAACTCTAGAATCTGTCAATGAAAGGATTATTATTTACATAATTTTGCTACAACTTTTAAAAATGTACCTTAGATTGCTTCAATATGTTAATAGCACTTTTCAAGAGTGTATTGTTGGCAAATGAATTAAAATAGATTTAAGAGCTCAAGATATGGTAAACTATACAATGGTTTGAGGGTTTTACCAGAAACTGCTATTCTCTGTGTTCTTCATGTTTAACACACACACAAAAAAGAAACAATCATGACCTGATACCTTCTCTTTTTATTTCAGTTTAAAAAATATGTTTTCATTAATATAGTCTCCAGGGGATAAAACTAGGCATAGCGTAGCCAGTCAGACAATCTGGAATATTGTCTTCATTTCCAGAAAAGGGCACCATCCTCAGGCAACGTGGGTTTAGGACACAGATCTCTTTACTCAATCTGTACTGACACCATGTCTTCCTAATCACATCTTGAGGATTTATAAGATTAGATTACCAGTGATTTCATTATCAGAATTCATAAACAGAATCCCTTCTGTTGATTTAAGAATATATAATAAATATTTCTGCCTCCTTTGCCTCAGAGTTGTGGACACTGGGGATAGAATGTTGAACAGGACTAAAAGGATGTGTTGCCTCACAGTGCTTAATTGTAGCAGAGGAGGACAGTCTGTGAACAAGCAAATGAATGAATAAACACAATAATACACTTCATAAGTGTGAAGAAACAAGGGAAATCACTTGATAGATAATGAGGGTATGACTCAGGGACATTGGTTTGAACATTTAGGTGGTTGAGGATGCCATTTGTCAAGATAGGAAAAAGTGAAATAGAAACAGATTAGAGTCGGCATCTGGGCTCGAGAAACACTGGATCTTGCAATTTTATTCAGAGGACAAACTACATAGAACATGAAATGACAGTACCAGGCAGTCTTAGATGAGATGTCATTGATTCTATTATGAGAGTACGCAAAAGGAGGTGCCATAGACAGAAAAAATGTTACTGCAGGGACTGTTTTATCTTAAATGAATTTCAGTTGATGAAACAGCCCTTTTTCCTACCAAAGAGATTCCAGATGGTGTTGTTGCTTATAATCTTTAATATGTATAAAGATCCAAATTGGAAAGCAGAACAATGTCAATGGTAGCCTCTGTCTGAACTGATATTTTCCAAATGGTGAACGACTTCCTACCCATTCTGATATCTTTCAAGTCATTAACCTTTATGTTTGTGGTTTTTACATTTGATGATTTATATGTTTCTTCCCAAGATGTTATCTTTTAATGGTCTCTCTATTTGTCACAGGAGCTGTTGGTCTCACTTGCCTAGGTTTAGTTGTATTTAACTGGAAACTCCAACAAGGCAAAGCAAATGAACACACATCAGAAAACCTTTGTTGCAGAACCTTCGACGAACCCCTGTGTGCTCATGGGGCAAGAAATTACCACACTAAGGGATACTATAACTGCCACTTAACTCAGGAAAACGAGATAAAGGTCATGTCCATTGTGGGGTCCAGAAAGGAAATGCCACTTTTACAGGAAAATAGTCATCAAGCAACATCGGCCTCTGAGTCCACAACCCTTGATGGATCATTTAGAAACCTGAAAAAGAAAGACCATAGGGTAGGCAGCACTTTATTTTGCCAGGATGGTAGATTGCTGCATTCAAGGTGTTCACAGTCTCCTGGAAATACGACAGCTTTTAATGAAGCAGGCTTACTTACAACATATAATTCAAGGAAAGTTCAAAAGCTAAGGAATCTTGAGTCTGGAGAAGCCCTGCCTCAAACTCTACCACACCATATAATAAGAACAGAAGGTGAGTTTGTCTTGTTTTAGAAAATCCCACTCCGTTTAATGCTTTTTGAAGGAGGGAGCCTCCCTCCTTTAATTTCCTCAATAGGAAATGCTATAAAAATCACTGTAGCACTAGTCTATTCCTTTTCTAAAAATATTGTGTGTCTGTGTGTGTGTGCGCGCGTGCGCGCATGTGTGTATGTGTGTGTGTTTAGGCTGAGATGGAGATGAAGTGTTCTTACTTTTAGGAGCTGAGATTGCATCTCCTGACTGCTAAAAGTAAATTTTGAGGCCCAACACCTAACAATGTTAAAAAAAGAAAAAGTAGCCTTTTAAATAGCAAGAGTGCTGTTAAGATCTATGGGATGGCTAATATCAGCTTTTATTCCAACATCCTTCGAGCTCTAATGCCAATTCTGCAGTAAGCAACCTTCCCAGAGCATGACATGTTAGAAGAATGGGCCCTCTAATGCTAGTGATTCATTTCAGGAATGATGTCAAGAAACATACTTTGCTTGCTGAGCTGTCAGGGATGATAACTTCCCAGTCCAGGCAAAGTCAGGACTTAATTCATCGTCCCATGCTGGGAGCCAAGTGAATCTGGCCGTGACATCTACCCACTGTACATGGGCGATGTCAATATTTAGGTGGAGGCAATGAATTAAACGTCTTCCTTTTTCTTCCTGAATAGTAAGGCTATGCATTCAGGCTCAGCAGTGAAAATGTTGACAGCTGCTCTGTAAAGAGGTTCCTGTCATTTATTTGAATTGGTTTACAACAAGCAGAGCTTTCTCTAAGAATATGAATGACAGAGGTGCTGTATCAAGAAATTCTTACCACAGGGGTCTGGCCCTAAGGATGCATTTTGGGGTGACTGGACAAGAATAAAGCCATATGTTATTTCACATATGTTATAAGGTAGGATGTGAGTTTATTCCATTGCATTCCCACACTCCAGTTCTTAACAGCGTCTGGGGGTTGATGATTTCACACAAGACAGGGATGGCTGAGGAAAGCAGCATACGCCATAGAAACTGGGTCAGATTGACTTTATTTTACAAAGAAATAAGCACTTACCCTTTCACTAAAATCATACCTTAGGCAGATGCTCCATTTCATCTTTTAACTTTGTCCAATGCCTGAACTTCTCTGTGGGAAACTCTTATAACTGAAGGGGTATGGTCTCTTAACCATTTAACACCCAGTATGTTGTTTTCACACTGAGAACACTGGTTTGTCAGATTAGCATGAATATTTGTAAGAAATACCTGAAATGCTGCTCCATGCCAGACATTGTACCAGAACTAGAGAGGGTAGGTATATGAGGAGAAAACAGCCAAGGTCACATCTGCTCCAGAACAGAAGTTAGTAAAGAAAACATTGCCACTCTGATTATGCCTTCTGACTTAGAAAAAGAATAATGGACTTTCCAGGGTAGAGGGGACTTTAGATCTAGACTAATAGTTCTTAATGTTTATCTCTGAGTCACAGAACTCTCTGAGACTCTGACAAAGGCTACAGATTCTTTCCCCGGCATAATTTGTATACTTACATAAAGCTCCCATCTAGTCCAACCTTCTAATACACAGAGAGCAAGTAGCTTCTCCAAGGTCACCTAGAATGTTGACGGCAGATCTTAGATTGGAATTAGATGCTAGTCTGGGACTTAGTTCACCTCTTGGGGAAAAGTGGAGATGGAGTGTCCCCACCCTTAGGAGTTGAGAGTACATCTCCTGTCTATTAAAAGTTAATTTTGAGGCCTAACACCTAACAATGTTAAAAACGAAAAAGAAAAAAAGCCTTTTAAATAGCAATAGTGCTGTTAAGATGTTTTGCAGTTAAGATGTTTTGCAGTTAAGATTTCCTTTTTTATCATGGAATAAAAAACTACTTCCTCTGGATGAAAAAATTTCATGAAACAATAGAAAGTATCTAATAAATAATTTTAAATTTTAGATGCATTGTAGTTAATAGGGTCGTTTAACGTCAGATAGACTTGGGGAAGTCATTCCCCAAGCATGGGGACTAGGGGAAAGCATTCAATTTCTTTAAAGCTCATTCCTTCATCTGTAAAAGTTATAAGACAGTAGGATATGTCCAATGGATCATGTCTCTTGTGAATATTAAAAGAGATGATGAATGTACAATATGAGCACAATGCCTAGCTCTTAGCATGTGCTCTATTAATGTTATTACTATTATTTTTGTCATTAATATTATTTAACGAGTAAAAGGAGATTATAGGCAGACATTAAGGAGAAGCCAGTACAAGTTTCCTTCTTCTATATGTGCCTATAGGGCTGTAGAGATGTCTATCTCGGAACAGTAAAAGGAAGCTTCCTTTTTGAACAGTTCATCATGTACTGTTTTCTTTCAGTGAATGAAAGATTGTAACATTAAGAGGAATTTGCAGGCAGACATTTAAAAGAAACTAGCAGAATAAGTTATAAGATCAATAAGATTAAATATTATATTAATCTGTACCATTTTAAAAGTCCCAGGCAAAGACTGCTGCCACATAAACCGGGCTATATTTCAAAATAACTATTTATTTAACAAATATTTAATGAACATTTTATTAAGTTATGGGAAATAAAACAGATATGATCTCTGCTTTCATTGAGTCAATAGTATTGCAAGTATTTCCCTTTCGTTGTTCAGGTTATTATCTGAAACCTGAATCTTACTCAATATTGCACCCATATTTTGCCCAATATTTAAGTTGCAAATGGGAAATAAATTCAGGAAAAAATTACTATAGCCACTTAAAAAGGATTTAGATATTATTCACATTTAAAGCTAACCTAACCAACAACTAAAGATATATGACCATAAATAACATTTATATTTCCAACTCTACAACTTTTAAGTCAGCATCACAACTGACTGCAGTGTGACCATAAAGAGTGTCATTCAAAACATATGGAACTGACAAATGTCCTTTGAAGGTTTGGTTAAAAATTAGGAAATATTCAAGAACTGCAATTATCAGAGAAGTCAGTTTTATACTTCTCACAAGCTTTCTAAGTATCTGTTTGGTTGGGGTAATAAAACTCTGCTAAGTGCTAAATTCTTGCATTTATTGTTCCACAGATATCAGCAGTGACACATTTAGAAGAAGATATGCAATACCCACTTCAGCCTTGGCAGGAGAAAGTCTTGAGAAGCATTTAACAAATGAATCATGGCAGCCTCCAATAGAAAAAGAAGACAATGGCTTACAACCTCATAGGCAGAGACATTTTATTACAAGCTCATCATCCAAGCCTTGTGAGCCTGAGGAACACTATGTACAAAAGATAGTACGAAAACATAGATCAAAATATGATGATCCTTGCGGACTGTTAAAACAGAGCAGACCTAGACATTTTCAGCCAAACAATTCTCTTATCTGTAAATATGTGCCCTGTGATCAATTTGAAGATTACATGAAAGAAAAGCCAAATCGTAGACAACACTCAAAGCCTGAGAAAGAGCAAATCCAAATTAACAGCGCAATAGAAAAATTTCTTATGAGTGAGGACAACATAGATTTATCAGGATTATCAACAAAAATCAAGAAAGCATATTCCCCAAAGAGGGTTAGTGTCCATGATCCTGATTTAGTAGAAATAAATAGGTCAATGATGTCACCCAAAACATCAACCCCTTGGAAACGACAGAAAAATCAAAGTAACCAGCTGACTAAGTTGGGTGTCACAAACTGTAGCAACCCTGGGGAGAGAAACAAAGGAGAAAAATGGTTTACTAATTCACGAGTTCTGAGAAGGAAGAAAAACCTTCAGCCTGACCTCAAAGGGAAAATTAAAGGACGAAACTTAAAGATAAAATTAAATTTACATCCTTTTAGAAAAGTCAGAGTCCATCCAGAAAAATCCTTGTCAGGTCTCCCAAAGCAATGCAAGCAAGTATTGTTGTCTCCTAAGAAATTATCCAAAACTTCTGAGACAAAAGCCAAAATAAATACTGTGTCTTCTGCAGATTTTCTTCAACAGTCAGAGAGTAGCAACTATGTTAGACTCACTTCAAAGCGGCTGCCTCTGAAACATGCCTCAAAGCAGACCCCATATTACCAACGAAACACTAAACGTGCCCCGCTGCTCAGTGCTAACAACTTGTCTGTAGTCAACCAGAGCTCTATAGAAAGCAACTGTTATTCAGCTGGCCACATTCCTGATGGAAACACATCAAAATTGCCTCAGCCTACACCCACTGATGCTGAGCACAGGCACTCACATTCTCAATTCTCAACTGAACAAATGGAAGGTGCAACTCAGCTTGAATCAAAAGTGCTTAGTTATTTACCAACTACTTGGGAAAATACAGGAAGTGATGTTTTACCATTCCAGCATTCCACGGGGGCTACTGACCAACGGACAACGGAGTCCACTGAGCACATGGGACAGAATGTATCAAAGACCAGCGAGCTAAATCAGTTTTCTTTGTCACCGAGGAATCAAACACAACTTTTAGATGCTCACAAGACTGACAGCTACAACAAGGAATACACTTTAGATCAAAATGAAGCCTTACAACACAGAGAGGAAAATTCAACTCATACACAACTTGGAGATAAAGAAAAAACATTAATGACAAAACCCCAAATACCACATCAAATTGTGGAAAATTGTGTTACGGATAAGGAAGAAAATGATGTAGAAAAAAAACTTTCAAAAACAGAAACTTGTGATTCCTCTCTCATTCCCCAAACACGATCCAAGAACAACCTATCATTTATGAAGACAAATTCAATTCCATACCAAAATAGAATAGAACTTCCCAAGGATATCAGTACTTCTCCTGTTAGTAGTCAAGCCATTTGGCACCTAACCAATAGTAGCGAAAAAGGAATTGACAGCACAAATGCATTGCCCAGAAATGACGGCACTGAAGCACTAGAGATAAAAATAGTAGGGAAAGAAGAGAAAAATATGCTTGATGAAAGCAAGACAGATTCTAGTATGTTAATTCAGATCACACAAATGACCTTAAAAGGCACCACAAAAGAAAGGCAGCAAACTTGGGAAAATGGAACAAGTGTAAAACATGTATTATATGATGCAAGCTCTGCCGAGGAGACCATTACAGCTAAAGATTTAAGTATCACAAGTTCCCATGAAACCCAAAATAGAATACTTTGCAGTGAAGTAGATCCTGAAATTAACAGTAATATGCATAATTTTAGAGAATTTCAAAATATTCAACCAGATAAAGATAGTGCATACAAAGAAGGCGCAATGACAGTGGAGACACATGAAGCACTTTCCTTCTTACCAGGGTTAAAAGACAGTTTTGAGGCAGAAAATGAAGTGTTTTTAGTTCCTAGCAGAATAAATGAAGCTGAAAACTCTGCTCCAAAACCTGCACTGTATCCACCATCTGCTGAATATGCTACTACATCACCTTTAGAAGCAGAATAAAGTGAAGAAAATAACTCAAATAGTAATTATTTTCTACTTTAGCTTTCTTCAAGAGGACACACAAACACCCCTTAGCCTTTGCATGCATTACAAATGCATCATTTTGGAGGATAACGATGTCCTCAGTAGCTCTTTGTTATCAATAAAATAAAACCACAGAGTTGAATATATGACAAAAATCAAAGATAGAGTCATAGGATATGTCTGACACAATTAACTGAGTATGCTTCTCTAAGGAATGAAAAACCAAGTAAGAAAAGTTTGGCCAAGTCTTGCAAAAGCAAGCAAACATTGAAAAAGCAAAAAAAACAAAAGCCTCAAAACAATGAAAGACTACATAATAAGAGTATTTGAGCAGATTTACATTTGATGTTTATTTTATGTGAATTATTATACACATCTCAATTAGTGGTATTACAATATTGCTTTCTACATGGATAATTATATATTCATATTTGCATTTGATCTGTTTTCTTAATTATAGTATGAAAATAAAAATTCAGCTTTGTTAACTGTAGTCTAACTGATATGCATATTGGCATATTTCATACATTTGCAATTGTCCTGTTGACAATTATCTTACATTTAAGTAGAAGTCTTTAAAACCTGTTATTTCTCTAAGAGAAAAAAGTTAAGGATTTCCAGGGATAGTTGGCTGTTTCCATAAAAATCTGCAAAATCCAATAAATCCACTAGGTGGAGATCTCAGCTTCAATCATTTTAGAAGAACAGGGCTTGAAGATCAACACAATGGACCCTGAACAAAAGGAATTTTAATGAGCTTTATTGCCAATTGTTATTAATTTAAGATTTTGAAAACTAAATAACCTATTAGTACATAGCTTTCAAGGTTTGATCTCTTGGGTTTCACATGCCGCTATTGTTTGGAGTGAGAACTCCTTCTTGTACACTGGAATTAAATGTGAATATAAATATTACATTTAAAAATAGTAGCAGAACAAACATGTCTCATTCAAAGCCATGCTTATTTGAAAAATATATATAGGGATTCAAATAATTTAATTTTTGAGACCACTGTGAAAAATATTTAAAGCATACCTTCACGGTTTAGAATATTATCATATTTTACATTTTTTAGTAGGGGAACAAAAAGGTTAAAAGGGAAACAAACTTCTTTTTCTCGTATCTGTATACCTGTCTAGGTCTATACATCTTTATATCTACATTTGGTATAATAATAATAATAAATAAGCTTTGTAAACCTTATAAGATTATTAGAACAATATAAATATAGCCCACATACCTCACCTCTTTTGTTTCCCTTTCTATTCAGAATTGCTAGGAAATGACTTTAGTTGTTTATTTTCAAAGTTCCTAAACTTCTTACCTCTCTTCGTCTTTTCTCACCAATATTCAAGACTTTATTGCTTTTAATCCTAATTCCTCTGGTATTTTTGTTCATTATCTCTACTTGAGCTTAACTCCTATGCCACCTATCTGCCTTGCCTGATCCCACTTTATTTTTAAAGCACCTTTAAGGTGAGAGAAGTATCTATGCCAACTTCTTGCATGATAAGTTTATTCCACCCTAATTGACGGCTTCTTCATCTTTGTAGACCAGGTCACTTTTTTTTTCTTGGTAGCTATCTTTCCTTTTCCTTTTTCCTTTTTTTCTACTTTAAAGCACTGTCACCTTACTGCAGCACCTTTAGCTTTGTTCTCTCTCCTCTCGCTGCCAACAATATCCCTGATATCTAGAGGCCTAATGAGTACTCTTGGTCACTAGCTGACTCTCAGGAGGCAGCAGTGCTAGTTCTCCTGGTCTCTTTTCTCTCTTCCATTTCTGAAATTCAGTCTTTTATCTCTTTATGATGTTTCCTTTGAAATCGTTCTCAGGTTTACCCTTGCCCTTGAATCTCCATGGTAACCATTGTAGTCTGTGTGTTGTAATCAACTGGATTACTCAAACAGCAATCCAGCTGGCTGCTCCAACTTCATTGTCTTTTGCTTGAGTTTCAACCCATCAGTTCTCTGTCTTTGTTGGGCACAAATCACCTGGGGTGCTTGTTAAAATGTGGCGTTTCAGGCTCTATGTCAGAGATTTTCATCAGTAAACTTAGGATAGGGCCCCAGAATCTTTGTTTCAACAAACATTCTAAGGTAATCTGTAACCCACAGTTCGCAGCCACATATTAAGAAACAATGCTCAGCTATTCCAGTGAGCATTAGAAGATAATTTGGCACTTGCCTTACTATAGGAACTACATACAATTTTTTAAGTAAGTAAATAAATCCTTTGTATCAAACTCAGATGAACTTTCTAAAAAATTACTTTTATCTTGTCACTGCTTTAGAGATAAAAATACAATTGCCAAAATTCCATATCCAAATTTCCTGTTCTAGTTTCCAAAATCTGTCACTATCTAATATCAGGCTTTTTTTTTCTTTTCTTTTTTTTTTTTACCTCTTACTGTTTTCCAACCTTCTCCCATCTTCAATAGACTGGTCTTCTTACTCTCCTCAATGTTCTAATTTATGAATTTTGACTAAGAAGACACCCTGGAGAAAATACTGTGCTTCAAATTCAAGGAATGAGGTAAAGACAGATATACCAGAAAAAATGAGAAGCAAAGTTGATAACCTAGAAAGTAATGACCAGGATAGCATGATGTTAGTGTCCTCCATCTAAAGATGAACTTGTTTCAAATAATGCCTGATACAGAGATTTAACCTCTCCATGACTACAATGTTGCAACTACTACTAGTCTTTCCCTTGTATCTGTTCTCCCAGTGAATTTTCATATGTTCTAGTTGCTTAAACTGTTCTTTCTCACCAAGCTGTCTTCTTTCAGAAAACTCCTGTTTATGATTTCAGCTCAAGTGTTACTCTTTTTGGGAAGCCTTCACTAACCTACATTCTGTCTTTGTCCCCCAACTTGCTAGTAGTATTCTTTTAGTATATATTCTCACAGAGTTTTGTCTGTCTTAATCTTGGCAGGTAACTATGGAATCATTAATGTGTTTATTCAATCAATCTCCATATAACTACCAGGTCTTAAACTCCATTTCAGTTAAGAGTTTCCATCTCTATTGAATCCCTTGCCCCATCCCTAGGAGGTATACAGGAGGGACCCAACAAATAATTGTTGAAGGAAATAATGAAAAATAGCCCATTGTTTCCTTTTCTTTGCCACTCAGCTTGCTGACATGGTAAAGACCTTACTTGGCAATTAAGGAAGACTCAAATGTGTCACATACAGAAGCAGCTCAACTTCACAATACTGAGGTGGTTGCCAGAGCCAAGTCAGGCTCGACTTACTGGCAGACCCACATATTGCAAGTCAGTTGAAGACTTTGCTTTCCTAGTATGGTTTTTCTCTATCTTCCCCTCTGCATCTCATCAGCAGAACAAAGACTCTGTGCTGATAGCAATACAACTTTTCTACTAAGCAATCGATTTTTGTCCTTCCTTTTTTTTTTTTTTTTTTTTTAAACAGAATCCTTCTTTGGCCATGTTCCAATTTCTGTTTCTCATTTCCCAACCTTTTGCTTAAGACATCCGTTCTATCAAAAAAAAAAAAAAAAAAAAAAAAAAAAATGCTTTTAGGACCTGCCAATGACTTACCTTTATCTTGAAATTAGAAATTCCACACGCCTGTTATCTATAATTATGAAGAGGCACTTCATCAAAGCAAAAGGGATTCCCTTGATTGTTATTTGATGGTAAACTTTGTCATAGCTCACATCCCACAGAGAGAAGGAAATTCTAGAATAGGTGCCTGACATACTTTTTCTGAGAAAATATGCCTGAAGTTCATACTGAAATACAAGAAAAGGTTTTCCTAAACTATTTTATGTGATGTAATTTTCAAGAAGAAATTTTCTGGACATCAAAATTCAGATGCAGGGATTGAAGGCACTGATAGGCAATAGTGGTATTCATTCATTTACTCAACAAACATTCTTGAGCATCTAACTTTAGATGTTAGTGTTATAGCAGAGAACAGAATAAAACAAAACAAAAAGCCCCTGCTTTCATGGAGCTTACATTTTCGTAGTGATGGAAGATTCTAAACAAATAAACATGTAACATATCAGGTTGAATGGCCAGGATAAGAGGTTATCTTCTGAGATACTCAATCCATCCCAAAACGATCTTCATTTTTTCTTCTTAAGAGTTTCTGTGTACACAGATGAGACTGGGTAATGACTTTGTCTAGATTTTGCCTTTAGGAAAAGAATGGAAAACTTGCTTTCTCTTTTCAAACATCTGGACTGGGGCTTATTCTATTTCTCCTAAGTGATTTCCTGAAATAATAACAGCCTCACTTTATCTATTTTCTTGTTGAAGAGAGATAAAGTGCCTAGGAAGGATCAGAAACAAAGTTATATTTTAAGAGGACAGTAACTAGGATGGCTTAGGATGGAAAGATAAGAACCATTAGGTCTTTACGTATGAGGTCCTCCAGTGTGAAGAATGCAAACTAATATTCTCCACTCTGAGCAATGGAATCAATGGATTGATATCAAAACACAAGGATTTTAAAAGACAACAAAATATACTGGCAGAAAGATTACTAGACACTGGACTGGACTGTGTTACTCGGAAAGAAGTTGTACAGTCTCCTCTGTGAATCTCTGAGAACAAAGCAGGCATAACCTGTCTGCACACTTAAGAATCCTTTCTTGTAGGCGGATTGTCTGGAATTTCATTCTGTGATAACATTCCCTCACTATTCTTTTAGACCTATGACCATATTTAAAAATTTATTTTACTGTTTACATATCCCTTCCATAACATTGATCACTCCATTTGAATTCTAAGTCTATGCTGTTAACCACATCATGATACTGTCACTCAGAAAGTTAGAGAGGGATTAGGACCCAGGTCTTCTGCCTCCCACAGTGCTCCTGAAGACCACCTATTCTGAGGCCTGCCTCATGTTTAAAAGCCAACACAAATCCATCCTGTGCCAAATTTCTTGCTTTGGAAAATGACTAAGTGTGGCTCACGCATAGTTAATAAAAATTGCAGCTGAGATGAGACTGTGAGTCATCT